TTCAGGGGCCTGTATTTCATCCAGGGCTTTGATTATGTCTATAATTCCAAGMTCTTTCGTACACTTTCCTATCGTGTCGAGCATGCAAARAGGTCGATGTGATGAAGGTTCTTMTGGTGGYTTTTTTGGCTTTSKRAGTAGAACCAGGCGYTGTWTCTTTCACGGATCGGGGAACACCTCTTCTAATATACACGCATTGTACTTGGTAACAAATAAACTGGGTCTTAGAGTTATGGCTTTAGAGTTTTCGATTTTTTTYGTATTAGCCAGTAGTTCGTCTTCTGTGACTAATAGGGGTGGCTCCGTAGCTTCGTTTCGTTTAATATAGGAAATGGAAGCAGGTGTCAGCAACCTAAGAAGCTTTAAATGCTTCTCTGGGACGGGTTTCGATTTCCCCTCCCTGATTTGGCTGTGCGTGACGTCTAGCTGAGTGACAGAGCTTCCTCAGCTTGGCAATTTCGTCGCTSCACYAGTWTACCGGCTTTCGATTGCTATTGTATCTCGTTCTGCGCATGATTGCGTCACATGCTGCAACTAGTTCCTTCTGCAYAGAGGATACTAAGTGTGTGGCGTCTTCGCCTGGTGCCTTTGYCGCACTCCARAYGCTCTCAAAAACTTCAGTGTCAAATTCCTTTTCACGCTAATTACGTTTACGGTAGGTATTTCTCCGAAACAGTTCCCTTTCTTGGGAGAGCGAAACTTYAGCAATTATATACATATGGTCGCTATTTGTGTAAATATCTGATACCTTCCACCTAATATGCCTGCTAAGCGTGTCGTTRGCAAATATTASGTCTAATATATACCCTTTTGAAACGTATTTTTTGTGCCATTGTTTASAATCGTGAGATTTGTTTGACTCAAAAATTCTAGAATGAGGCGACCACGATGATTTGTAATTCTGCTACCCCAAGCAGTAGACCATGCATTAAAATCACCCTCTATTATTATTGGCGATTTGTTTCTGGTCTCTAGAGACAGGTTCAGGAGAAAATCTTATAATTCTCTAATTGTTGCGCTATGGCGAGCATACAAGCTTAGAAAATATATACCTTGTATCATCGCCCATGTAAAGCCGTTATGTACTTATTTCGAGCGGGATGAGAAAGCTTGTCCTTTGCAGGCCCATATTACTGCCTTGCCACTTCTATCTTTACTCCAAGTGCTTTCCGAATGTTGCCTGTATGGCTCGCTTGGTAAGGCGACATCTATGTTCTCTTCTTGAACTGTTTGTTTTAGCAGATCTTTTGCTGCAGCGYAGTGATTATGGTTTAGCTGTAATAACCTCATTTTCTTATTGTTTYCATCATTTGAATGTGCTTCGGACAGGTCGTACTTAAGACGGGRTGCTCTCCTTTGCAAAGCATACAGCTCGGGGTATTTTTGCACACCTTTGCTAGGTGCCCTGCAGCTCCGCAGCGTGTACAGAGGGCAGACCGGTCAGTCTGTCTGACACATTTGTTTGCTATATRACCCAGWTGGAAACACCYAAAACATCGGGTAATGGGCAAGTATTCTCAGGGACGACAGATAGTCCACTCTTTATTCACTTTTCCCAATTTTAGTGCAACTTTAGCGTCCTGAGCGCGCAGACAAATAAGAGTTATTTGTGTGCCACTTCGAGTTCTCCTCATACTTTTGACGCTTGATTTCTCCAGGTTTTGGAACCCAAACTCTTTCTTTAGTGCCCCGCAGATTTCTTCCGGTGTTGTGATTTCGTCTAAGTCCTTACACACTATTGTAACGTTATGGGCTTTGGCTGTATCAGCGCCATTTCACCCASCGCTCCCTCTAAGACGRTTTGAAATGATTCGGGTCTCTTGTCTRCCTGATTTTTCAACTCGATCAGTAGGTCTCCTTTCATCGTCTTCCGTATGTAGGTCACGCTTGATCCCAACTCTTCAAGACCGTTGTCGCTTTTGAT